TATGGCTACCAACCACCAGTCAGTCAGTTAGTACACCATGCACGACTGTGGAATTTCAAATCATGGATCATTATCATCATCATTTAGTTCTTTGATATTTTGAACACACAAACAAATATGGACAAACATGATTATCATGATATCGGCAGCGTAATATAATTAATGATTACCTACATAAGTGAGGTTATAAAAATAAACTAGGAGGACGGACAGGCAGTAATTATTACATGCACCTGATTCTAATTGGAACTATCATCGATCACAATTTTCCAATATTTTTCAGGGTCTAAAAATCGTGAACTTTTTAAAGAACACTAGGTACCAAAGACCATCAAGAAACCCGTGGTACGATCAGCAGTGTCGTAATACTACTGATATGAAAAACGCAGCCTCTAGGGCAACCCTGCGGACAGTAGCAACACGTAATGCGATGGAAAACTATGAGAGAAAAGGAGAGAGGAGAAACGTGTTTTCAGAGTGAGCGTGAGCAAATCGAGATGTACAGGAGTCAGAATGAAGTCCGAAAATTCTACCATCGGGTAAAACACCAAACCGAAGGCTTTGGTGCAAGCACATCCTCCTGTAGATATAAAGAAAGAAGCCTGGTGACAGATAAAACCATTTTGAAAAACTTCTGGTATCAAATTGTAGCGGGTGAAGAGGATACCCAGAACCAATAATAGATGACGGTATAGAGTGTATACCACCTAGCCAAGATGAAGTCAGTATAGCAATCAATCGGCAGAAGAATAATAAAGCAGCATGAGCATGCACCAGTTGATTAGTACAATTTGGCTAGAAGAATGAATGCCCAATGATTGGAAAATCAGCATCCTGTGTCCCGTGCACAAAAAAGGAGACAAGACGATATGTACCAACTATAGAATAAGTCTCCTACCCATCGCATATAAAGTGCTACCCAGCGTACTGTGTGAACGACTGAAGCCAATGCGGCTTCAGAACTGACAAATCCACCATTGACCAGATTTTCACTCTGCGCCAAATCCTGAAAAAAAAAACACATCGACACATTCCACCTATTTGTCGACTATAAAGCCGCATTCGCAAAATTAATTCGGCTATGCAGGATAACTTTAACTGGCACAAGATCAGCAGTTAAAGTCGGAAAGGACCTCTCGGAGCCTTTTAATACCGAACGAGGAGCCTTTTAATACCGAACAGTTTGTCGTGTGACTTTTAAACATCCTGCTGGAAAAGGTCATACGAGAGGCAAAAGTGAACAGAAATGGCACTTTGTACTCCAAACAACACATGTTACTCGCCTACGCCGATGACATCGACTTAATGGGTCGAATACTGTGAGCGGTAACAGCCACCTTTGAACAAATTGAGAAGGAGTCTACCAACGTGGATCTGGCAGTAAACGGCGAGAAGACCAAGCTGATGGTATCAACTTCCAGTAGACTCGGACCAACTGTGGAACTTGAGAACTACAGCTTCGATGTAGTCAAAGATTTTATATACCTTGGTACCGCCATAAACAAAACGAATGACATCAGTTTTGAAATTTGGAGAAGGATAGTGTGGTCTGAGCAAACAACTCAAAAGCAAGGCCAACTCCCGCCAGACCAAACTCACACTCTACAAGACGCTGATACTACCCGTGCTATTATATGGATCTGAAGAATAGGTACTTATGCAAGCAGATGAGGCAGGTCTTAGAGTGTTTCAGAGAAAAATTTTCCAAAAGATCTATGGGCCGATCTGCGTTGACGGTGAATATCGCCGTCGAATGAACCATGAGTTGTACCAGCTATTCTCGGACATCGACATTGTTAGACGTATTGAGCTGCAGCGACTACGTTGGCTAGGTCATGTTGTGAGAATGGATGAAGAAGCCCCAGCCCAGAAGGCATATAAAAGCTGAACCAGCTGATGGTTCACCCAGAACAGGAAGGCCAAGAATACGATGGAAAGATCAAGTCGAAGACAACATTGCCGAAAATGGTCTTTCAAATTAGAAAAAAACTGCGCAAAAGAACGATGCGCGTGAAAATCTTTTCAAAGGTCGGCTTGTGGAACGAATGTTCTCTCACAAGCCAGCTATGTAAGTAAGTAATTATTCAGGACCTAACATAAGGCGTGGATTTTTTTAAAGAATATTTTTTCAGGGCTAATTTTCAATAATAGTCCATTATGCAGATTATTCATCCAATTGACCGGTAGTTCTGAAATCATTTTTTGTTATTCTAATTTAAATAAAATTTAAAAAATTCCGGGTAAAGATGTTGTTTAAACAACAGCTTAATTGGTTTTTATTGATCGCACATTTATTATGGATGGATGGCGTTTCCTAACTGCAATGCATATATAATAAAACCTACAATGAAATAGATTGTTCTTGTTGTTGTTTGGTTTTATATTCATATTAATCGCAATAAAAAATTCATCCAGAAATTCATTTTAATCAACGTAAAACAATTTATTTCAATTGACATTGAACACATAATATGGGGTCTTGAGACATTTTGCGGAAGAAAAGGGCGAATATAAAGAAATTATACAAGCTTAAGAAAGATATTTTTTAATGTACGTTAATAGGTATGATACAAGTTGGTAGTCCCTATATTCTTTAAAAAATCTACGCTTTATGGTAGTCCCTGAAAAAATATTCTTTAAAAAATCTACGCCTTATGGTAGTCCCTGAAAAAATGTTCTTTAAAAAATCTACGCCTTATGGTAGTCCCTGAAAAATATTCTTTAAAAAATCTACGCCTTATGGTAGTCCATGAAAAATATTCTTTAAAAAATCTACGCCTTATGGTAGTCCCTGAAAAAATATTCTTTAAAAAATCCACGCCTCTTACTAGCATTGAAAAAATATTCTTTAAAAAATCCACGCCTCTTACTAGCATTGAAAAAATATTCTTTAAAAAATCCACGCCTCTTACTAACATTGAAAAAATATTCTTTAAAAAATCCACGCCTCTTACTAGCATTGAAAAAATATTCTTTAAAAAATCTACGCCTTATGGTATTCCCTGAAAAAATATTCTTTAAAAAATCCAAGCCTTATGATAGCTCTGAGAAAATATTCTTTAAAAAATCCTCGCTTTATGATAGCTCTGAGAAAATATTCTTTAAAAAATCCAAGCCTTATGATAGCTCTGAGAAAATATTCTTTAAAAAATCCAAGCCTTATGATAGCTCTGAGAAAATATTCTTTAAAAAATCCTCGCTTTATGATAGCTCTGAGAAAATATTCTTAAAAAAATCCACGATTATTACAAGCCCTAAAAAAAATACTCTGAAAAAAATATTATTTAAAAAATCCACGCCTTATATAGGACTTGAAAAAATATTCTTTAATGAATCCACACCTTATATAGGCCTTGAAAAAATATTCTTTAAAAAATCCACGCCTTATATAGGCCTTGAAAAAATATTCTTTAAAAAATCCACGCCTTATATAGGACTTGAAAAAATATTCTTTAATGAATCCACACCTTATATAGGCCTTGAAAAAATATTCTTTAAAAAATCCACGCCTTATATAGGCCTTGAAAAAATATTCTTTAAAAAATCCACGCCTTATGATAGCTCTGAGAAAATATTATTTAAAAAATCCTCGCATTATGATAGCTCTGAGAAAATATTCTTTAAAAAATCCTCGCTTTATGATAGCTCTGAGAAATATGAGAAAAATATTAACAAAATTCATCATTATTACTAGCCCAGAAAAAATAATCTGAAAAAAATATTCTTTAAAAAATACACGCCTTATGGTAGACCTGAGAAAAATATTCGTTAAAAAATCAACGATTAATACTGGCCCTGAAAATATAACTTATATATTGCCCTGAAATTAGACTATAATAGTCCTTGAAAACTTATAAACACTCTTTGAAAGAAAAAAACATTTTTATAATCCACGCTATATCAAAAATCCACGTTCTGCTAATGTTGGTTAGAAAGCTGAAAGCTTACATCCAGTTTGTACAGTACAGTTGTGAAATTCCCACGGTGTTATCACTGCCAAGTGAATGGCAAACAATAAAAGCACACACAGTACAACAGCTAACAGCTGTCATAACATTTCACAACTTTTATCCATACCTACACAAAAGAACAACAAAAGAATTTGTTTTCCTCAAAAAACTTTTGAGGAAATTATTTCGCAATTAATTTTTTATACTACAAAAAAGTACTATAAGTACTCAAAAAAATACAGGATCATCGCCTATTTTTGTAAGTAAATAACAAATCTCATACTCACACACATCGTAGTACAAATGGCTGCCAACAACACAAACACCAACAATCAACAACTTCCAACAATGACGCCGCCGTCGAATTGCTGGGGAAATGTTCCAAAACCCATTGTGGAGGATATGAATTTTGCTGCCATTGTGAAAAATCAGAAAAAAGAGAAAGTCCTAAAGCAGGCAACGGAAAGGGAAAAAATAAAACTGCAAGAGGAACGTGATTTAGAGGAGGCCTTGGTGAAAAGCCTTGAAATGGCCACCTTGCAAGAAGCAACCACCTCGTCCTCGCTAATGGGCGGCCAAGGGGATGATGACGAAGAAGATTGGGATTTACTCAATCAAGAAGACGACTTTAAATTCATTCTACCACCTGAGGTATTGGAATTCCTCAAGAGTGAGGAGGAGGAATTGGCTGCAGCTGAGAAAGCAGCCATTGAGGGTTGTGATTCGGATGCTGTAATTGCCCAAATGTTACAGGCTCAATTCGATAAGGAATACAATGAGGAGCTGAAACGCATTGAAAAGGCCCAGAATAAACAATCGAAAATTACCGTGTGCTTGGATAAATACATCAAGCCCTATATCCGAGATGTTGGTGAGGACGACGATAGTGATTATGATTACGACGAGGATGATTTAAATCGTGAAAAACGTGATTGGGATCGTTTTGAGACGAATGAACGCCGTTTTGAGGCTATACCCAAGTGTGGTTATGGCCTGGATAAGGATGGTGAAATGATTACGAAACATGATGAAAAATTGTGCGGTGTTCGCAATGCCTGTCGTATGATGTCGCTGCCCCTGGAATTTGCGACGGGTGATGGTGCCGGTTTTGATATGAAACTTTCGAATCGGGTAAGTAGTGGAAACATACATTCACGTTTTAAAAAGTGTAGAACTGTGAAACAAAAAAATCTATAAACAACCAGTTAAAAATATCCCTGAAAATCTATTTTTTAATATCACCGACTTATGGTAGCCCTGAAAATCTGTTCTTTTAAATATCCACGCCTTATGGTAGCCCTGAAAATCTGTTCTTTTAAATATACACGCATTATGGTAGCCCTGAAAATCTATTTTTTTAAATATCCACGACTTATGGTAGCCCTGAAAATCTATTTTTTTTAAATATCCACGACTTATGGTACCCCTAAAAATCTATATTTTTTTAATATCCACGACTTATGGTAGACCTGAAAATCAGATCTTTTAAATATCCACGCCTTATGGTAGCCCTGAAAATCTGTTCTTTTAAATATCCACGCCTTATGGTAGCCCTGAAAATCGGTTCTTTTAAATACCCACGCCTTATGGTAGCCTTGAAAATTTGTTCTTTTAAATATCCACGCCTTATGTTAGACCCTGAAAAAATATTCTTTAAAATATCCATGTCTTATCTTAGACCCTGAAAAAATATTGTTCTTTAAAATATCCACGCCTAATGAAAGCCCTGAATTCATGTCTATAATAATGGTACTTGAAAAAATAATACAATTCTTTATAGTCCTTAAAATATTGTTTTAAAAAAAGAATTTCCATTTAATTTTTTTTCCAGGTCTTCAACGAACTCAAAACCTATTCCCGCAAGGGACAAAAGAAAAATGCCCGTATGCAGGATCGTAAGGATAATGTGGCCACCGCTGAAATGGGTGTTGATGGCCGTACCCGTTTGATACTCTACAAATTGATCAATAATTTGATTTTGGAACAAATTAACGGTATCATTTCGACTGGCAAAGAAGCTGTTATACTTCACGCCTCTTCTGATCCGGCTTTTGTTGGACCCGATCCAGAAAATCCACTAGTTATGCCCAAGGAATGTGCCGTGAAAATCTTCAAAACTACTCTTAACGATTTCAAGCAACGCGATCGTTACATCAAGGATGATTATCGCTTCAAGGGACGTTTCAATGTCCGTTTTGGCAAGCAGAATAACTTCGTAATCATTAATATGTGGGCCGAAAAGGAAATGCACAATTTGACACGTATGCAAAGTGTCGGTATTAATTGCCCTGAAGTTGTAATGCTCAAGAAACATGTGTTGGTTATGTCATTTATTGGTGAAAACAATCAGGCCGCTCCTAAGCTTAAAGATGCTCTACTATCGGCAGCCGAATGGATTGCTGCCTATGATGAGGTGGTAACGGCAATGCATAAATTATACAATGAGGCTAAATTGGTTCATGCCGATTTGAGCGAATACAATATCTTGTGGCATGATGGCAAATGTTGGTTTATCGATGTGGCCCAATCCGTTGAACCACAACATCCCTCGGCCTTGGAATTTCTGATGCGCGATTGTAACAACATTGTTAGTTTCTTTGAAAAGAAGGGTGTGCCCAATTGCCACACCAAGGAACAATTATTCGAACACATCACTTCATTGAACGCGGAAACTATAAATGTGGCCATGTTGGAACGTATCCACACCAAAGGTGCCAATATACAATTGGCCACAGCACCAAATCAAGATGAATGCCCACTGGAAGCTAAACCCTTGGAATATCCATTTGATTTGGCTTGGGAGAAAACCACTCAAAATGTCAATGTTGATTGTAAGATGCAGGCTGCATTAGCCGAGAATAAAGCTGAGATGTCATCATCAGCAGTTATGGCACAACCAATTGTTGTTAATACTATTACAGACACTGCCAACATTTAATTTCATTTTTTCTTAAGGTATAAACATATAAAAACTTGATGAATAAATATTTACATAATTACATATAAGTAGTCGGTCGTCCTGGGCATATTCTTCCTCTGAAGAACCACCATATATATATTACACATATTTTAATATAATTTATTTTAACAATACAATTAGTGCGCGGTCGTATAACAAAATAAAATTTTGTCAATCTATGGTAGTAATAAAAATGGTAGCTTTGAAAACAGCAAAATATTTTTTTTTTTTTTTTGGTCCACTGGCGTCATAAGGAGGCACCACTTAGCAGTTCTCAGTGCGGCATTCTGACAGGTTTGATTCTTCTTCCACTGTGTATCGCTCACATTCGCGAACCATACTGGCGCCGCATAGCTTACCACCGACCGACCTATTGATTTGTAGGATGTCAACAAGGTCTCTTTATCAGGACCCCAAGAGCTGCCGGCAAGCGACTTGAGAACCTTGTTCCAGCTTCTCATCTTATCGCAAATAGCCGTGGCTTGCGCAAACGACTTAAATAAGCTATCGAACGTTACACCCAAAATGTTGGGATAGTTTGTGGTCGGAATTAATGCACCATCGACCATGATTTTCAGAGGGAGCTTCATTTCAGCCGTCCAGGGTGACTGTGGATTTGGCGATGAATATCTACAAATGTATTCCTCAGATGGAAGAACTGTACTAAATCAGCTATGTAGACATTTAACCTTTCACAGATGTCATCGATTCAAAGTTTTTTTTTTTCAGTGACCTTCAGAGCGTATACTTTTCAAAGAATAATTTTCCAGACACCATCAGATCATCGATTTTTCAATCAAATATTTTTGGAAGGACTAGCAGAGCGTATATTTTTCATAGTGATTTTTCAGTGACTTTCAGATTATCGATTTTTCAAAGAAAATGTTTTGAAGCCACTATCAGATCGTCGATTTTTCAAAGGACCAACAGAGCGTAGATTTTTTAGGGACCTTTAGAACATCAACGAAAAAACGGTACAGACTATCATATCAGATCGTAGATTTTTCAAGAATTTTTTTTAGGGACCTTCAGAACGTTGATTATCAACGAATATTTTTTTACGGACTAACAGAGCGTAGATTTTTCAAAGAATATTTTTTTTCAGGGACCATAAGACCGAACATTTAAAAAAAATCAGGACGTATACATACCAAAAGTTGCCAATATACAATTGGCCACAGCACCAAATCCTATTTGAATGAATTTCAGCATAGCGTGCTGGAATGCTGTGCAGTTATGGGATATGGCTGTGTTATACTCTTCTAGTGATGTTAATGTTCAGTGGGATTATTTTTTACAGTGCCTGGTATCTTTGCACTCAATTTTTCCTGTTAAAAAGAGGAAAGTACGTCTTCATTTTGATGACTGGTTTCAGAATCCTCAAATTACGTTCTTGGTTTCCGTTAGGGATTTAGCCTTTAAAGCTTATTTGATGGACAAATCTGCTTCAAATTGGAAAATTTTTTGTAGGGCGAGGAATAGGGCTAAAGGTATGATTCGGAAGGTTAGAAAAGAGGCTCATGCAAATTTGTTTACTAATATTTCTTCTTCTAGAGATTTCTGGGATGTTGTCAAATCTAGAGGGTTGTTGGATACTGATTCCTATGATTGTGATCTAGATGTCGATGAATTGAATCAAACGTTCGTTCGTAATCAACTGCCTTTGTCTCACATTGATACTCAATTCCTGAATATTGATCGAGGTTTCTCGTTTCGCTGTATTGATTTAGGGGAATTAGAAAAAGCTTTTTTCATGATCAAGTCAAATGCTTCTGGATTGGATGGTTTTTCTTTGAAATTCCTTAGAAAAGTTTTCCCGCTTCTTTCTCGTGATTTTTTGCATATTGTTAACACTATTTTGTCAACTTCGGTCTTTCCTGATGAGTGGAAAATATCTAGGATAATTCCCATAAGGAAAAAGGGTTCAAGTGATTTCCGACCTATTTCAATGCTTCCAATCCTATCGAAAGTTGTTGAACATATTATAAGAGCTCAAATTCAGTCACATTTTGAGACTAATATGTTTTTGGATGATGCACAGTGTGGGTTTCGTAAAGGTAGGAACACGTCGTCTTTGTTATTAGGCTTGACGGATGCTATTCGTAGTAACTGCAATTGTAGCAAATTCGCTGTTTTACTTTCGTTGGACCTTGAAAAAGCATTTGACAGAGTTGATCACAATTTGTTGTTGAACAAACTTTGTGCTTTTTACAAATTTTCTGGTACTGCATGTTCCTTGCTTCACTCCTATCTGTCAAATAGAAAACAACTTGTTTGTGTTGGCAATAGGTATAGCAGCGTGTTGCCTGTTTCAAGTGGTGTACCCCAGGGTTCGGTTTTGGGGCCGCTCCTCTTTATAATTTTTATAAATGATCTTTTCCCTCAACTGGGTACCTGGTGTATGCAGTTTGCTTATGCTGATGACATCCAGTTGTTGTTTAGAGGCGATGTTCGATCTTCTCTGGTTGCCCAGTCGAAAATAGATCTGGCAATGGGTATTTTGTTATCTTGGATGGTGAATAATAATCTTAGGATAAACCCTTTAAAAACAAAGGCAATTTGTTTTTCCCGCAATAGAAATTTTAATATTAGTGTCTCGTATGATGGTACAAGCATTCAGTTCGTGAATCAGCTGGATTGCCTTGGCGTTGTTTTAGATGACCGCCTTTCGTTTGAAAAACACGTTTGTTTATTGGTGGCAAAAATAAATTTTTCTTTGAGGTGTCTTTATAACTCCGATTTGATTCTTCCTCTAGAAGTGAGGTTGAGGTTGGCTCGGGCGTTAATAATGCCAATGATTTTATATGGCTTGGAGATTTATTCCGGTACTTCGCATTTTATTTTACATTTTGTTCAGTTGGCGGTAAACAGGACTGTTCGTTATGTTTATAATTTGAATAATCGTGCGCATGTAACGCCGTATGTTATGAGATTCCTTGGGGTTTTATTTCATGACTTTATTAAAATACGTTTAATGTTGTTCTTTTTCAAATTGATGAAAGCTCAATCGCCTATGTTCCTATTTCAATCGTTTCGTTTTTTGCACTCTACGCGACTTAATCAATTGTCTGTTCCTAATGCTTCTCTTCTTATGACAAATTCTTTTGTGGTTAGAACAGCCAGAATATTTAACCTGTTTCCTATTTATTTGAGAAATTTTAGCGTCTCTGTAAATATTTTTTCAAATTGTTGTATCAGATATTTTCTGGTGATATTAATTGATGCTTTTTTGTATCAATTCCTCTTGGAGTTGACCTTTGGAAAATAATAGATTTATATTTTGGTGGTTTCACCTGTTTGTTCTTGAGCTTTGTGCCTATTATTTTAATTTGTGAAAGTTTCTGGAAGTGCACTTAATATTTTTTTTATTTATTCTGTTAATATGTAAGATATATATATATATATTTATATATTGTTAATATCTTTATATTGTTAGTTTTAATGTTGTTTTGCATTTATTATATATTTTTCTCTAACTTAATTTAATTATGTTAGATTGTGTAGGAGTAGTTTTTATTATGGTATTTACGATTGTATGAATTTATGTTTTAATTTTTTGAATTTTTATTGTTATTTTTTTGGGGTAGTTTATCCTTTATTAGGTTAAGCATGTCATATGCATTTTGTAATTTATCTTTAATGGGCCTGAAGGCTTTGAATTACAAGCTAAATAAAATTGAATTGAATTGAAATTTGACAAGTTTCGATATTGCTCTCATATGTATTTTCGTCCGATTTTATATAAATGGGGCACTAAATTCCCTAAATATCTTTCGATTTCCATGAAATTTGGCATTGAGTACTGAATTAGGTCCAGAATGGTGTTTGCTAAGTTTCGTGAAAATCGGTTTCGATTTAGATATAGCTCCCATATATATTTTCTGCCGATGTAAGGTAAATGGGCACCAAAGTCCCTAAATATCTTTCGATTTGCATGAAATTTGGCATGGGATACTGAAGTAGGTCCAGAATTATGTGTGGTAAGTTTCCTGAAAATCGGTTCAGATTTAGATATAGCTCCTATATATAATTTCGTTCGATTTTATGTAAATGGTGCACCAAAGTCCCTAAATATCTTTCGATTTGCATGAAATTTGGCATAGGATAGCGAATTAGGTCCAGAATGATGTTTGCTAAGTTTCGTGAAAATCGGTTTTGGATTTAGATATAGCTCCCATGTATAATTTCGTCTTATTTAATGTAGATGGTCCTATATATCTTTTGATTTGCACGAAATTTGACATTGTGTTCTGAATTGTGTCTAGAATGATGTGTGTTAAATTTTTTAGGAACTCTTAGAGCATAGATTTTTCAAAGAATTTTTTTGGGACCATCAGACATTAGATATGTTTTGGGATAATCTGACATACATTTTTTTAAAAATATTTTTTTTTGGCACCTTCAGAGCGTAGAATGTTTTTTTCAGGGACGATCGAAGCGTAGATTTTTTAATAAATATTTTAAATTTAGGAACAATCAGATTATTCATATAGAAATAATACTTTTTCAGTCACCTTCAGATTTTTTAAATGTAAAAAGGTCTTACCTTCATTTCAGAGATCCATATCTCGGGAAGTATGGACTTCCCCCTTTGAAAGTCATATAACTTTGTAATCATGGAGAAGAGACGAGAAAATTCCGAGATAATTGGACCTTTAAAAATTAAAAAAATCTATTACACTTTTATATTATTACAAATTCGATTCAATATAGAACTTACCTCCTTTAAGGTACCAAATTCGTAGGCATAGTGGAAAATGTTTTGACATACGCGATGTAATTTATAATGTAAAGTCAGTACCCTATATGGGCATAGTTTCCCTTTTTTTTTTAAAAAAAAGACAGCTCCAATCAAGGTTTCTGTGCTTACTAATTGATTAGTTCTTTGGAAAGTTCAATTAAATTTAAAAATAATTGGCACACCCGTGAGAAATAATTCAAAACTTGTTTAAACTCACAAAAAAGAACTCGATTCAGAT